GGCCTGTGCCCTCTCACAATCCGGGACGCCTCAGGGGATGTCAACTGCCGCCTTGGCTTGGTAGTGCGCTGCCGTGGAGGCAGGAGAGGCTCACACTGCCGCAGCTGCGCTTGCCAGCCCTGAGCCCAGCGTCTGGCACCCGTCAGTCAGCTGAGCAGCGTTCCCGCTGTGGGAGCACACTGACCACCAGGGGGCAGCTCCTGCGTTGAGCGTCTGCCCCCTGGTGGTCAGTGTGCATCATAGCAACCAGTCAAACGGTCGTTCGGTTGCTTAGGCTTTTATATATATAGATATCAGCGTTAACAGACTCAGAACTTTTTAACAAGCAGAATCTGTTATAAATCATAGGCAAATACAGTATATGAAAAAGAGTCAAAGTCTATATTTAAAAGATAAAATAAGAAAAATGTTTAGAACTCACCTTAAAATAGTTTACATACATCAATTATAGTCACCAAGTTCTTCTACCTCTGAAGGAGCCAAAGAAGCATCTAGTTTCTCTATGTGACCCCTAACATCTACATAAATGTAAGAAACAGAAGTGTATTGAATGGTTCCTGTCCATACTAACATGAATACAGAATGTGGGCTGGCACTCTAGACCCTACAGAGGCTTCAGCCACTTTGAGGCAATCAGTCAGTGGATCAGAAAATACAATGAAGGGTGAAAGAGGAAAAAGTGCAAAGGGAGTAGCTGAGACGTTGGAGGGAAAGCAGTGCTGTGAAACCATGAAAATGTGGCTCTTCAGATGATGCTTAATATGAAGTAAGAAAGGAGCTCCTTAAAGATCAGGACTTGCAAAGCTGGGGGATGCCATGTTCAGCAATGTGGACCCAAAGGTTATATGATAAATAGAAATAGCCTAGGGCAGTGGGGAAATGGTATATGGTTAGAAGCCCCAGGTTCAAGTTCAGAGTCTGACAGGCTAGGTACTTGTACAATTTCTAGGCCTCTATTTTTCCTCCTCTGTAAGACAGAAATTACATTTGCTGTGCTAAATACAGTCTTGTTTTGTAAACAGATATAAGAATGTATATGACAGTAATTTTTAAATTATAAAAGTACTATTTTTACAATGAGTTTCACTGATACCATGAATATTTTTTGTCACATAAAAACCTAATTCATATTTATAAAGCTGTCCATTCCCTTACATTCTGAAGTCAAAGTAAAAAACTCTGCCTCTTTATCCTAACTAAGCTACTCTCAAAACTCACATCCTAATTGACTTCTATACTCTATCCACAAGCTGGCTCCCAGTTTGACAATGCCCTCAATTTGGAAGCATATGAACAAAGACAGCGGTCTTGCACACATCATGACTTGACAGGAGGAAGCCCGTTAGAATGATCATCAGGCTCCTGTAAAATACACTTACTATTCTACATTCAAATACCTCTCATGGAAATTCTATAAATCTAAGGGGAAAGTTCATTAACAACCTCACCTGGATTTCTGTCTGTCTGTGAAGGAATCAGCAGAGATTACTTGTACTTCCCTTTAATTATATTTCGCCTAGAATTTAACTAACCAGAATCTTTTTTTAAAAACATTAGGGAAGATCCCTACGTCATTTCCCTTAGGTGTTCCAGCCTCAAAAAAAAGGATATGTAATTATCACTTGCTTGCTCATCCATTCATTAAATATTTGTTGATAGCATACTATATGTGGATGGTTTTAGATACTAGGAATACAGCGGTGACCAAAAAAGACAAAAACTCCTGACTAAATGAAGCATAAATTCCAATAGCACAAGAAAAAAAGAAAAGCAGCCCTGGCCAGTTCATAGTAGCATCATACACTGAAAGGTTGCAGGTTTGATTCCCGGTCAGGGCACATACCTAGTTTGCAGGTCCGATACTTGGTCAGGGCTCATATGAGAAGGTAACCCATCAATGTCTGTCTGTCTGTCTGTCTGTCTCTCTCTCTCTCTCTCTACCTCCCTCCCTCCCTCCCTCCCTCAATAAGTACTCAGAAAAACTAAAGAAGAGCAGGGAAATAAGACGTTTCTATGCGTGTGTGCATGCACATGTGTATAAGAAAAATAGAAAAAAAATGTATAATACAAGCCAGGAAAATACTTGCTGAAAGAGTGATATTTCAGTAAAGGCTTGACAAATTGTTAATGAATTATTTCTTCATTTAAAATTTATTTATGATTTGTCTGTAATATCAGATACACACGCACACACACACACACACACATACACACACCTCCAATTTAAATCTTATTACAGGAACATAAGATTATTCAATAGTATTTTTAAACTGACTTTAAAAATTAATGTTTATGAGCTCTCTCAAAACCATATCATAAATACCTAAGCCATGAATGTGGGTGGCAGTACCAAGGTGAATGGAAAATTTAAATTTAAAAAATGCCCTAAATAAAATAGGGGAATGTAGTTTAAATAAAAACATATTACATTTTAGGATTAAAACATACCCAAGGGAATATTTTCAAAGCACCAAATACATGATCACATTAAAATTTTACACATAAATCCATAAACATATTACTAAACATTAATGTTGAAGACTAGGTAAATTCCTCAATAGCAAGAAAAAATTGTAAAACTTTACCCTAGAAATATCACAAGTAGAATTTTTTATAATAGTTTACTTTTAGACCTATATAATAGATTAGAAATGCAACATTTTGGTGAATCCAGAAATTCATTTAAATTACAAAGAATATAAATATTGTTATGAGAAATATCAGATTATTATTTGAATAAGTTTGACACATTGATTCATTCTAACTGTATATGGCAAAACAATAAACACAGAGTCCCTCTCCAAGAGTATATGGTAGACATAAACAAGCTTACTCCCTTCTTAGATATCAAAATTCTAACCATGTGATCTGGTCATTTCAATAACATTTCAATGATATGATGATTTGAAAACAAAATCTATCAAAAATTACTATATGAATAATTACATAAAGAAGTTTACCAGATAGCATATTTAAGGAACACTATTAAAAAGGCATTAACAAACTGTGATGTTTATTTAACCACAAATCTCTTCTCTTTAAAACAGGGGGTAGCTAACTCACACAGGCTAAATTTGGCCCCGCCTCCAGTTTTTTTTACTATATATATTTTTTAATCCTCACCTGAGGATACGTTTTTATTGATTTGAGAGAGAGAGAGAGAGAGAGAGAGAGAGAGAGAGAGAGAGAGATCGGTTGTCTTGCATACTGGCCCTGACCGGGAATCCAACCCGCAATCTTTTGGTCCATGGGACGATGCTCCGACCAACTGAGCCACCTGGCCAGGGCCCCCTCCAGTTTGGGGGAATTAAAGTTTTATTAGAACACAGTCACACCCATTTATTAACATACTATCTATGGCTATTTTTGTGATGTAACATCGGAACTGAGTTGCTGAGATAGGTTATGGTCCACAAATTCTAATAGTCATTTGGCCCTTTATTAAAATGTTTACCAAACCCTGTCTTAAAAAATTGATAAAACCTTACCCGTAACCACATTTTTAGTTTGGGCTTTGCCTCATCCTCACATTTTTTCCTTAGAATTCCATACCTATTCTCATCAGGCTGGTAAGTTCTTTTTGAGGAGTGTGTCTTTAGCAGCCTGTTCACAGTGGGTCCTCAGACTTACCTTTCAAATAATATGTCCAGTTTCTAATGTGGATGCCATTCAGCTGTAAATGCTACTGTAACAATATTCATCTTTCAAATGTTTTCTGTATCCCTGTGTATATGCACTTGTGCAACACTTTGAATATTTGAATATCCATTTAGCCTCTGTCTAGTCAGTTAATTACAAATCTTTTCATGGCTTCTACTTTGAACTTAGTACAGTAATGTTTAACATGTTTCCTGTAAGTTGTAATACCTGTTAATGTTAACAGAACTTTACTCTTAGGCAACTATTCTAAACCACTTCCTCACTTGGCCAATTAATTCTAAAGAAAAATTTCAGACCCCCTATCCTTTTAAGAAATCTGTATATAGCTATCTTATTTCTAGCCTCACTGAGTGACCACCTTGGCTGTATTAACCACACTAGAGGCCCAATGCATGAAAATTCGTGCAAGAATAGGCTTCCTTCCCCTGACTGCCGGCACTGCCTTCACTACAGCTGGAGCCACCTTCCTGCCTTTCCTCTCGCCCGGAGACACCCTTCTGCATTCCCATGCTGCCCAGAGGCCCCGAGCGGCTGGAGCGATGCGGAACACCTGCACCATGGCAACAATGCAAGCATCCCGCCCCCAGCCGCTTGGCACCTGCATATGCAAATTAACCCGCCATCTTTGTTGGGTTAATTTGTATACACACTCCTGATTAGCTGTTGGGTGTCGTGGAGGTACGGTCAATTTGCATTTTTCTCTTTTATTAGTGTGGATACTGCTGATATTGGTCTCAAGTAACCATATCTTTTTTTCTGCAGTTTTTGTTGACCTTTCTGATATCTCCTCTCTACATGAAAAGTGTGGCTCTGCTATTATGATGTTGAATAAAATGAAGTAGATTACAGGCAAAGTGCTTCTAGAGAAGATTGCAACTCAAGAAATAAGATCTTGACCTCTGAGTTTTTTCTTGGTTCCACCATCAACATCTTTTCCTTTTTTGCAAAGCTACAGGAATCCCAAACACCTAATTTTAATATGGCAAACTGGGTAACAAAGTACTACTAACTCATGAAAAGTGGTTTCTCTTTCCAGTGTTTTATATTTCTTTTACTCTTTTCTACCTATTACTTGGTATATTTTAAAACTCAGTTGGATTTAGTAGTATGAATTCTAAGTTTGCTATTCATACAACTGAATTCTCTCATATAAAATAAAATCGTTATTGCTTATACACATTATTTATCGAAGATGATACAAAAATACTTCATTTGTATTTTTAAGGAGTACAACTGCAGAGAGTACAATGAACACAAATGGTTTTTTTTTAAGTCTAATTTTAAAAGCCTTAATTTAAAAAAAAAAACAACTAAAAGAATAAAGGTAAGTTTGTACTCACCAGAGTTGTGGCAGTAGTCCATATACTGGGGAACTTGCACTGTGAAGGCTATCAAATCTGGAGCTAAGAGAGATTCTGGCTTCCTACTCTCATTGAGCCACTTGCTGCTATGAAGGTCTTTAGTGTCAGAAGGACCTTGAAGCAATGGAATCAATTTCTCTTTTCCACTCTCACCTGAATAGAAACATTAATGAAAAAAAATCTTATCAAATAAAATATAGGAGTAGCTTGAGGATGCTTATCTTAAAATATACTAACATTATAACATTTCAACTATATTTGGTAATTTTAGGTGTACATGTAGTTTTATTAAAAATTATAAAATTAAAAGCATGTTTAATTCTTTAAAAAATACATTTTCATATTTAGCTAATCAATGTAAAACATGTTCAGAAAAACTTAGAAAACAACTTGAACACACAATGCTTCAAATATTCAATGGAATCTGTACCTTATCTTTATACTTACCTACAAATTTAGCTTGTACTGAAAAAAATTAAAGACAAATAATTTAAGGGAAATATTATTAAGTAAAGTACTGATAGGAAAGTGAAGTCAATTACAACCTTAAATAGAAAAACAACTGGATTTTCTGCTTAATTTTATTATACTAACAACATTTTAATTTAATTTTAATGTCATATATATGTACCTACTATTTTTCCCAAAAGTATAAGAATAAACTTTCCTTTAATTTTTCTCCCTTATAACCATTCTTAAAACTTTTTCCTTAAATAAAACTTAATTTATTAAAGTTAACAGGTATCATCCTGGCACAATTAATAAAAAATTTTAAGTAAAATAAAAAAAATTTAAAACCTCTGATTCATAGGAACAATGAGTAAATTCTTGTTTCAGTAACGCTCCTTGTAAAATGTAAGGCCAATTCTCCTATACAGGCAATAAAGTTTTACACGGTCCAGCTGCACATACCTGGGGCTTTGGCACAAATTTTTATTGATCCCACGGTCCCAGAGGCACATTTGACCAATGATGTGCTGCAGTACTTCAATTCAACATTCTGGATTGAGCCCTCAAGAGTTGGCAGGGGATTCTTAGATTTCACACCTAATAAAAGAAAACTGCAAATGTACTAGCCGATTGAATTTAAATAATTTTTATACTCCTTCACTAAGGCATTTAAACTTAATTATACTTTAATTATCTACCTCAGATGTTCATACAGTATTTTTAGTAGGTTTCATAGTTTAGTGTTTAGGAGGTAAAAGGATGCAATTTTAAAATAAATGGTCTGAACTCTCATAACTATATTCACATAGTCAGTTCTTGATTAGTCAAGCTCAAAAAATAAAGTAAATAGTTTAAGCAAATATTTTTTTTAAAAAAACAGAAGATGTTGAAAATCATATTTGGCTTTAGAATATAGGTAAGATTTTCAGTTTTGAAGCAAATTTAACTTATGAATTTAGTTTCATTTAGGCAGAGACATTTAATTTAAACAGGAAACTTCCAGAGTAAACAGACCTCTTCAAATTATCTTGGTCAGGTAGGGTGAGGAAAGAGAAACAAGATAGCTCAAAACAGCTCCGAAGTTAAAATGCATTAGCTTATAAACAAAATTAACATACAAAATGTATATAAAAGAAAGAAAAGGTATTCTATATTAATTAACCAAAAAAGTGGATATTAATATCTCTACTATGTGCTACTTGCTAAAGGGCATAAAAGCACAGAAGGGAATAATTACCATAAAGTAAATGATAGAGAAAACAATTCAAAATGGGAGAAAGTCATTTTGGCCCTGAAGGGTAGGTGAAATTAATCAGGCAGAGACTCTTCAAGAACATTATTCTGACAATATTGCAGACTACTACAATGATAATGCTACTGATGACCAACTCTAATCAACTAACATTTACTGAGGACTTATGTGTCATGTACGTTATCTCATTTTATCCTCATAACAGGCCCATTATAAAAATGTTTATTATCCTCATTTTCAGATTGCTATTCAACGCATAGAGGGGTTAAGTAATTTTTACTCAAAGTCCTATAGTTAGTGAAAGTGTTTAAATACAACTTGATCCCATCACAGAAGACTTTACCAATCATTTTGCCGATATTCGCAAACACCTACCAACATAATTTCCCCTATTTCACATTTTGATCAAATGTATACTATCCTTCATATTTGAAACTTATTTAAGCAAACTATGATTAAGAAAACAATAAAATTTCTATGATAAATATATTAAACACTAGAGGCACAGTGCAGGAATTTGTGCACGGGTGGGTTCTGGGGGGGGGGGGGGGGGGGTCGGGGGACCTGGATGCAATCAGCCCTCCAGGCGGACGGTGGGATGCCCTTGCCAGCCCTGATCTGGATCCATCCTGCTGACATTCGTGCCAGTTGTCAAGAGCCACCTGGCGGTTGCTTTTATATTGTTTCTTCCTTGCAGAGTATCTAGGGAGTGGAAGCGGCCATGTTGCCTGAGGCCGACTTCCAGGAAGCCAACAGCACTGTCAGGATAGTGCCAGTGGCACTGGTCCATTGGTGCCTGGCCAGTTTTCCAGATTGGACCTGCAGGACTACTGAGGGAGTGAGTGGCTGCTGCCAGACTGGGGGCCAGCGGGATGGGTCTCAGCTGAGCAGCACTCCCACTGTGGGAGTGCATGACCACCAGGGGGCAGTTCCTGCACTGAGTGTCTGCCCCCTGGTGGTCAGTGTGCATCATAGTGACCGCTGGTTCCGGTTGTTCAGTCGCTTAGGCTTTTATATATATAGATAGATTATTTTGAAATCTTTTTTCTCAAACTTTAGTGTGTTCAATAAGCCCCATGATGCTCAAAGAATCTTCCTAAGATGTGGCCCAGGAATCTGCAGTTTAATTAATACACTATTTGATATGAAAATGGTTAAAGGACAACAGGTTAAGAAATACCGTCTTATGCCGAAACCGGTTTGGCTCAGTGGATAGAGCATCAGCCTGCGGACTGAGAGGTCCCGGGTTCGATTCCGGTCAAGGGCATGTACCTGGGTTGCGGGCACATCCCCGGTGGGGGATGTGCAAGAGGCAGCTGATCGATGTTTCTAACTCTCTCTATCTCTCTCCCTTCTTCTCTGTGAAAAATCAATAAAATATATTTAAAAAAAAAAAAAAAGAAAGAAATACCGTCTTACATACTAACTCGTACTTCAGCAGCAACTATTAATTTACTAATTTCTATTTGGCTATTATATAAACATGTATTGATTAGTTGTTATTTTCCAATATTCACCACCTGTATTGTTTCCATTTGAAGTGATATTTACTATCCTCAGAACAGGTTTCTAAAATGTTATGTATTTTTCTGATTTTATCATTATTTTTATCACATTTTCAAAATCTTAACAAAAAACTTAAGCAGCGGCATCTCAGAAAATTAAGTGATGTCAACAATATTTATATAAACATAGCAGTAACAGTAGTGGCAATAGTAATAGTTATTATGGCACCTAACATTCGCTAAGTACTTACTAAGTGCATTCACTATGCCTAGTTTATTTATTCATTATTCCCTTCCCTGAAAAATGGAATAGTTATTATTACTGTTCCATTTACATATGGGAAAAACCAAGTCTAAGAGAAATAATGAAAGTGGCAAGGCCTGGATCACATCTGTCCTTACAAAGGAAGCTGAGCTACCCTACATACTGAACATCATCTGCGGTTGCAGGAAGTTATAATCAGTGGGTAATTTACTCCAATCATTATGTTAGACGATGAGAAGGATACAAAATGGAATAATACCCTCCCCTAGCTCTCAAGTCTGCACAGTCAGACTCTTGTTTTGTGCTAATTTTTCAAGAAATATAAACAACCAAGATAGTGGTCAGCAGACGAGAGCACCTGAAAGATACTCTCAAGGTTCCTGATGGTGTTCGGAACCGAAACAAAAAAATGAGTTAGTTTCTGGAAAATGCAAAAGCAAAACAACAGAAATAGGCTAACATGAATTTGTTTTCAAATTATTTTATACAACTGCTGCTTCCACAGTTTACTAAAGTTTAGGACTCTACCATGAATCAAAAATGTTAGGTCTTTTTAAATATTTAACATGTTATATTTAAGACTCCAATCAGAAGATGCCTAAAACTTCTTCTAATAAAAATCTCATATTCTCATATACCTACACAAAAGTATCTTGGTTTAGACTAAAACTATTAAGAACTTAGTTCACATTATTATGATCACTACATTTCTCAGACATTTTAATTATGCATAATTTCTCCTTAAGAAAAGCCTCTTTATACTTTGTTTTTAATGCCACAAGCGTAGATTTTTAAAAAATATAGTTATATCTTTATAGACTTTAACAATGAAGAAAAGATGCTAGTAAAAAATAATCTTGGTGATGTAAACAATGGACTTTGGGTGATTATGATGTGTCGATGGAAGTTCGTGAATTCTAACAAATGTACCACTCTGTGGGGGTTGCTGATACTGGGGGGTGCTATGCAGGAATGGAGGCAGAAGGTATATGGAAAATTTCTGTACCTTCCCTCAATTTTGTTGTGAACTGCTTTAATATTATCCTCCTGTTATTATTACCTATAAGTTAAAAGATGAACTGATGACAATCACAAAGAAAAGTGGCCACGGGTAATTACAGTAAGAAGCAAGTAGATCTGCAATAAGCCATGGAAAGAGAATTAAAGGAACCAGGTAGTTCAGAGGAGAAGAATGCAGATGAGGCCAAAAAGATGAGTGACTGAGAGTCTATCAAATGACTACAGAGCCTTTCCCTTACCTCACGCAGGCATGCAAGTGAGAACCTACATTCATTCCGGTAAAAGACTGAAGGGTTTACTCTGGAGAGGTTAAACCAGAAGAATTTTGGACCAGAGGGACCATTCTAAAAAGGGAGATTGTCTAAAAATCTATAAAGAGCATATGCATGGGATGAGAACTCCTTTTCTTTTAGTCCTAAGAACTCTGAGAACCAGTCACATAAACTCCAGAAAAGAAACAGAAGGATTTCTCACTGAAAAGTGGCAAATTCAAGAAAAACAAAACAGAGATACTAATAAATGATTATCCCCCAAAAACAACAAAAAATGAGTTAGTAAAAATAATCAAAAAGTGTATATGGATTTTATTTAGAGGCAAATATCAAAGAATAAACAAAAAATAACTGCCTCTAAAAAAAAATGTGATGATGATAAAGGGCCCAGAAGACTACTCTTTTTGTTACAAGCCTTATTATCCTATATCCTATATAATAAAAGCCTAATATGCTATGTGTCCGGTTGTCCAGTCGTCCATTCATTCATTCAACCAATCAAAACGTAATATGCTAATGGTATGCTAAGGGCATGCAACCACTCGCTATGACAAGCACTGACCACCAGGGCCAGACAGTCGACCAGTCACTATGACATGCACTGACCACCAGGGGGCAGACGCTCAATGCAGGAGCTGCCCCCTGGTGGTCAGTGTGCTCCCACAGGGGAGCCCCATTCAGCCAGAAGCCAGGCTCACGGCTGGTGAGCGCAGCGGCAGTGGCAGGAGCCTCTCCTGCCTCTGCAGCAGTCGGACATCCCCTGAGGGCTCCCAGACTGCGAGAGGGCAAAGGCCAAGTTGAGGGACACCCCCCCCCCCACCGAATGCATGAATTTTGTGCACCGGGCCTCTAGTAATTTAATAAAATGAAACAAAAGGTCATTTAGTACACCTGAGCAAGCAGAACACACACTAGATACACAAAAATAATAAGACAGTGAACCAATTATAAAGGTTTCTGAAAGAAGGAAGAAATAAATTATTTTTTTAAATGCACTGAAGCCCTGGACAGTGTTGTTCAGTGTTTAGAGTTTTAGACAGTGTGAGAGACAACAAATGGATCCAATGGATGTGTTTCTCTCACATAGATATCTGTCTATCTCCCTCCCTCCCTCCCTCTCTCTCTTTCTCTCTCTCTCTCCACTCCCTCCCTCCCTTCCACTCCCCCTAAAAGTCAATGGAAAAATAGCCTCCTCGGCTAAGGATTAAAAAAAAAACACAAAATGCACTGAAGTGATAGCCATTTAGAGTTGTTAAGGAGCGTTACCCAAAATAACAACAGAA